CTCCTCCAACAATTCTTCCTCCTCCAACTCCTCCTCCTTCAACTCCTCCAACTCCTCCTCCTCCAACAATTCTTACTCCTCCTCCAACCCCTCCTCCAACAATTCCTCATCCTCCAACTCTTTCTCTTCCAACAACTGCTCCTCCAACTGCTCCTCCTCCAACTCCTCCTCGTCCCAAACTTCACCCCCTTCTAGCACTGATGTTTCCTAGTTGGGTCATGAAACATCTGGAAGAAAAGCACCAAGCTCAGTTAGCAACCAAGCCCCCTCCTCTCCCTCCGCCCCCCAGTTTCAACCCCGAGCTGCACCTATCCTCTTCCGGAGAGAACTCTGAATAGTCACAGCCGTTCCTTGCTTCAGAGGCAGCGCAGGGAATCCACCAGTTGCACTGAGTGCCAGTTGTCATCTGTGAGGCTTTGAACGGGTTTGTTATGGGATTAGGTAACGGCCGGCCCACCTTTCTCCAGGTGTTCTTGTCGGTTGGAAAATCTAGCTGGGTTGGATTCCCAGGGGTTCTGTCAGCGAAGCTGTCTTTTTGGGGGTCTGGGCAAGTCTGGGCAGAGGTCTGCAAGAAAGCCACCAAGCTCAGAGAGCCCCAAGGACCCCACAGGCCTTCTCCTCCTCCTCCTCCTCCTCAAACCCCACTCCCTTCTAGCGCTGATGTTGTTACCTAGCTGGGTCATGAAACTGGTCCTGGACCCCACAGATCAAGTCACTGGGCAAAACCATTCCGGACAGCCAGATCTCTCTCCTAACTTAAACCTGTTTGGCCCGAATTGCAGTCTAAGGTGCCCCCAGGGGCCTCGCGTCTCTGACCCGAACTTGCTTTCCTCTCTTCCAGTGCCCCAGGTGAAGGAGAGCCGCCGTCCCCTCCGTTCCCCTGGATGCTGGGCGGCCGGGGCCGGTTCTCGCCGTCGCCCAAGATGGCAACCTTGAAACGGAGCCACCAGCAAGCCTGGCCGGAGGAGGAGGGGGACTGGGAGCACGGCCTCTACAGCCTCCACCGCATGTTTGACATTGTGGGCACCCACCTGACTCACCGCGACGTCCGCGTGCTGTCGTTCCTCTTCGTGGACGTCATCGACGACTACGAGCGGGGCATGATCCGCAGCGGGCGGGACTTCCTCCTGGCGCTAGAGCGACAGGGCCGCTGCGACGAGACCAACTTCCGCCAGGTGCTGCAGCTGTTGAGGATCATCACTCGCCATGACCTGTTGCCCTACGTCACCTTGAAGAGGAGGAAGGCTGGTATGTAAAATTAGCATCCGGTTCGCCTGCACCGGTGCGAACCAGTAGCAGCCCAGCCCTGGAGCGGACGTGTCAAACTCAAGGGCCCCCGTGATGTGTTTAGATCTGGCCGGCAAGCAGACCAGTAGGAGGAGTTGATTGAGTAGTGAGCTCCTCGCTTCTTTGGGGGGGTCTTATCAGTAGCAGCAGCTCCAGGAGAGGACGGGTAGCGGGAGCCCGTCCAACACATGGAGCTGTGGTAACCGCAGGAGTGGGCCCCCTCCGCCAAAGCCAAAGCCGATCAGAAACCTGAGCTAATACCATCACCATGTTTTACTGGCCAGATGCCCTTCCCGTCTCCAGTGCAGAGTTGGGGTGGGCGCCCTCCGCCAAAGCCAAAGCCGATCAGAAACCTGAGCTAATATCATCACCATGTTTTACTGGCCAGATGCCCTTCCCGTCTCCAGCGCAGAGTTTTGTTCATCATGCCCAGGGAGAAAAATATCTGCCTTCTACCTAGGATCGAACTCACAGCCTCCCAATTGTGAGGAGAGAGCTCCACCTCTAGGCCCCCCACCCCTCCAAACCTGAGCTAATATGATACATAGAATTATGGTACAGGTGGGATCGGGCGGGCGGGGCCAGCTGGTCCTTGCAACGACCAGTTCGGCGAAGCTGATGTAAAACTAGCGTCCCGTTGGCCCAAACTGGTCCGAACCACCTAAATCCCAGCCTTGGGGATTTGCGCGTCGAAAGCCAGCTGGGATGGTCAGTCACATGACCTTTTAACTCTGCAACCGTCCTAAGTACATGCTGGACGGCCAACTGCATCATTTGGACTACGTAACTCTGGGGACGTTGGGAGGGTCAACGATGCAAGGACCGGTTGGTTGTAAAGTAACTTTTTTTTCCAGTGCCGTTGCAAGTTTGAATCCCAGCCGTTGCTCAAACCCCCCCCCCCCCCCGATGGTTGTGAAGTCGAGGATTACCTGTTCCAGAATTGGATCCAGCTGGCTGGGGAATTCTGGGAGTTGAAGTCCAGAGGTGTTAAACCTTGGACCAGGTGGGGAAACATTCCCCCGAGCCACCCGGGGAGATTTCTGCAGGTTTGTCGAGCTGCACCCTGCAGGCAAACGGCTGCGTGGAGCCGCCCCAAAGGCGGTGCGCGACTTGTGCAGTGACATTTTTTTGCGTTGTTTCACTGCGTTAGACGAGTCAACTCGTCTGATCCGTCAGCTGGATTCCATCCCGCTGCTTTTTGGAAACTTACCAAAAACAAAACACCCGGGGAAGTTTGGTCTGTGATTACGTCTTCCCTTGTTTGTCTGCGTGGCCGGAAGTGTTTTCTCAGCCCTCGTTCTGCTTAATAGACATTTTTCTCTGTTTTTTTTTTGCCATTTAAAGCTGCGATAAAATAAAATAAAAAAAGAACAGATTGGAGATTCGACCTTTTTCAGAAGGCCGCTGTCTTCTGATTTTCTTCTGCACCTCATCTTTTGGTTTTTAAGAACTGTAATTTAAAACTCACTTCTCCTTCTCTTCTTGGGTAGAAACCTCACGCTGGTGTTCCAAGAAGGCATCACGTTAGCGCTGTGTGTATACAGGAAGTCCTTGACTTAGAGCAGTTCATTTAGTGACGGTCAAAGTTACAATGGCCCCAGTGGTGGGATTCAATTTTTTTTTTTTACTACCGGTTCTGTGGGCGTGGCTTGGTGGGCGTGGCAGGGGAAGGGTATACTGCCAAATCCCCCTTCCCTCCCCACCCCACTAACCTGCTTTCCAGCTCCGTTCTCCTGGGCAGGGCAACCAGAGGAGCCCCAGCTGGGACTCAGGAGGCAGAGAAGAGATGGGCTTGGCGGGGCCAGTCGGAGGTGGGATTGGCCGGTTCTCCGAACGACTCCCAAATTTCCGCTACCGGTTCTTCAGAACTGGTCAGAACCGGATGAATCCCACCTCTGAAAAAAAAGTGACCATTTTTCATACTTAAAACCATTGCAGCATTCCCCACCACCACCACGGTCACATGATTTGCATTCAGATGCTTGGCAACTGACTCATATTTATGACGGCTGCAGTGTCCTGGGCTAAACCCTGAGTCTCGAGGCAAACTTCCAGAACTTCAAAAGGATTTATCGGGAGTTAACATGTCCGGCACTGAGACACGTCATTCACTGTCACCCTCGGCCCTGGTTTCCCCCACCCCCACATCCCTCTGGGTGTATCGTAATTCATATTCTCCAATGGGACACCTCCATAGCCCAGAACTCTCCAGTTAGAAATTTGCCGGGCAGAAACTTCGGTCTCCTAGTTAACTATCTTTGAAAACATTTATGGAATGCCGTTTCGGTTTGCAAGCTGCCACACTGCTCTTTCAAACCCCCTTTCTCCCCTCCCTTTCTGTTGGCAACGGAAATATTTGATGAGTCGACATTGAACACCCGCCACGATTCACTTCATGGTGGCAAGAAAAAAATCGTAAAAACGGGGCAAAACTCCCTTAACAACTATCTCACTTAGCAACGCAAATGTTGGGCTCAGTTGTGGTCGTGGACGAACCTGTGTCTCAAATGATGATTATTAGTTTTTTTAATATTGCTGGCAGTTTGTCTTTTCACACGTTTTTCCTTTCTCCCCGCTCAGTATGCCCGGACCTCGTCGATAAGTATCTCGAAGAGACTTCAATTCGCTATGTGACACCCCGAGCCCATAGCGGTACGGAGCATGGTCCTGTGCACCAACACAAATCTGGTGAGATTCCATGCACGTCTCCAACCTCTGAAAGCTGTTGTCGTCTCCGGATGCTGTAACGTTGGCACCCTTCGGTTTGGCATCTTGACTTAAAAGTCACCTGTTATTATTACTTTTATTGTCAAGCGTACAACATGTGTTCAGTGAGATTGGCTGAGCCCCCCTTCGTGTGCAAACCCCACCTCCCCACAACACAACTCACAGTGAGGACAGAAGTCTCTAACCCGGTCCCAATCTTATTACACTAGGTGACCTTGTTGCGCAACATGCTGGCTCCACAAGTCTGTCCAACTATGTTGACGTGAACTTATTTTCCGTTCAAGAGTCTGACAGCCCACGAGTAGAAACTGTTCTTCAGCCTGTTGGTGCGGCTGGCTCTGCTTCTATTTCTCTTACATACCCGATGGTAGGAGAGTGAAGAAGTGCTGACTGGGGTGTGAGTCGTCCCTGAGAATTTTCCTCACTCTTCCAAGGCAGCGAGCCTGAGAGAGGTCATCTAGTGGTGTCAGGGAACAGCCCACGGTGTTTTGTGCTGTGCTCACCACCCTCTGTAATGTCTTTCTATCCGCGGCTGCCAGTATACCACACCGTGATCACTGTGGCAGTGATGAGACCAGAGTTGATCACCACAGTACAAAAAAAAAAGATGTTGAGGGTCTAAAAAGAGTGTAGAGAGGAGCAGCTAAAATGATCAAAGGTCTGGAGGCTAAATTGTATGAAGAACGGTTGCGGGAACTGGGTACGGCTAATGAAAAGAAGGACCAGAGGGGACATGATAGCAGCCTTCCAGGATTTGAGGGGCTGCCCCAAAGAAGAGGGAGTCAAGCTCTTCTCCAAAGCATTTGAAGGCAGGGCAAGAAGCAACTCATCAAAGAGAGAAGCAACCTACCACTAAGCGACCTAACCGGGAGCCTTAGGGCCGAAGTTCCATTGCCTCTTGAGCTTCTTAAGCCCCATAAGACAAAATATAGGGCGCTAACTTGCAGCATGTTTATCATTTAATAATAGATGGGGTGCTTTCATTGGTTTGCCCTGCGGTTGTAGTAATCATCCTTTTTCGTAGCTTGGGCGGATAAAAGTTGCTTGGGCCTCCATTTTGTGGGACGATGTCGTCCCGGCGGCCTGTTTCCTTGTTTCTCGTCTATTAATAGGACGTAGACGAAACTCTGACTGTATTGCGGGTCAACAGTATTAGAGGATTACAGAAGCTGTAAAGGGTTCACAGGCTGCCTGTCGCCGCTATACGCCACTTGTTCTCTCACGGGCTACTCCCTTGCAGGAAAACACGAGCAAAATATTCCTTTCCTTTCAGCAGAAACACGAGAGAGAAGGAGAGAGAAAGAGACGCACAGACAGAGAGAGAGAGAAAGAAAGAGAAAGAGAGAGAGAGAAAGGAGAGACAGAGACAGAGAAAGAGAGAGGAGAGAGACAGACAGATAGAGAAAGAGAGAGGAGAGAGGGAGGGAGGGAAAGAAAGGAGAGAGAGACAGAGAGAGAGGAGAGAGAGACAGAAAGAGAAGAGAGAAAGATGAAAGAGAGAGACAGACAGAGAAGTATTGGGAAGGGGGAGAAAGGGAATGGGAAGGAACAAAATTGAGAGAGATGGGATGAAGGAATAAGGTGACAAAACAGGGGAGAGAAATCCACCTTAATTGGTGTGTGTGTGTGTGTGTGTGTGTGTGTGTGTGTGTTAAATTCTGGATGCAAACAGGCCTTCCCAACCAGGCTTCAAGGAAGGAGATCCTCAGTCATTTGCAACGCCAACCCAATTTCTAGATAACCGTTCAATGGTTAAAGGTGCCAGCTCGTCAGGTGGCTCCCCCCGCTGGGTGGCACTGAGACGCCAGCATCGCACAACAGGGCGAGCTCCATCCTCGCCTCAGCTCATGCCCACCGAGCAGTTTGAAAGGAAGCAAGTGCAAGCAGATCAACAGGTACCACTTCTGTGGGAAGGTCACAGCATTCTGTGCACCTTTGGCATATAGCCAGGCTGGCCGCAGAAACTTGTCTTCGGCCCTAGCTTGATTTTTTTTACACGTGCCCAATATAAACCCTACTCTCAAAATAAGCCCTAATTAAGATTCCTACTACTCCAGAGTGGATGGGTAAAAAATTACGCTAGGGTGTGAATGGGTGTGTGTGTGTGTGTGTGGAACTGCCCTACTACTTGCCTTGGGACAGTTGTAGCCAGGCCTTGCACACCCCGATATCTGCCTTGCCGGCCCATTTCTTCTGCAGCCGGCAAAGCTGGCAAGGCTTCCCTGAAGGCCTCTGGAGCTGAGAACAGACCTCTGGATCGATCCTGTGGGCTGCAGAGGCCTTCAGGAAAGCCTTGCCTGCTGCAGAAGAAGTAGTTCCTGAAGGCCTGTGACAGCGAAAAGGAGGCCGGGGGCAATGCATGCGAGTGAGGTTAGCCAGTGGACGATGCATCCCCCGAAAATAAGCCCTGGTGCATTTTTTGGTGGCCACAAATATATATATATAAGACAGGGTCTTATTTTGGGGGAAACGGGTATAATCCTACAATAAAGATAGGCCTAGTTGATGCTTCTTGTCTGGACTAGCTCACAGGGCTAACAGGAATGACTATCCTGGTTCTTCAAGGCCACAGCCTGGCTCCCAAGTCACCCGACCACTTCCATGCCTGTGGGAGAACTAGAACTCACCCTCTCTCAGTCTCCTTCTTTCTTCTCTCTTATCACCTCAGCCGCTGAGGCAGACCGAGCGGCTTAATTTCCGTTGTCGCCCAAAGCAACCCTTGCCTGGCTTTGAACTCTTTGACATTTGTGTGTGTGTCCACAGTGCCTCCCCACCACCCGTTGGTCTGCTGCTCCTCTTCGGGTCCCCAGATCTGCACCAAGCGGTCCGGCCGGGGAAGGGCGCTACTCGGGAACCAGCGGAAAAGGAGGAAGTCTGTGACGCCGGATCCGAAGGACAAACAGACCTGCGGTGAGGTTTCCCGACAGCCACTTTACGCCGGACTCTCAGGGCTCTGCCCATTTGCCACCAGATCCACCGGCCTCCTCGAACGGCATAGAGTCATAGGGTTGGAAATGACCCCAGTGGTCTTCTGGTCCAGTGGTCGCCAACTGGTGGGCCGGGGACCACTGGGTGGTCCGCAAGAAAATTTTGGTGGCCCGCAGAGAAATGCCACCCCCAAATCAATTAATCCAGGCTGCAGGGGAACACAAGGCTTGCCACACACAAGGCTTGCGTCACTTGCATTGTGCACAACACGAGGTAGTGAGGGGAGGGGGGAAAGGGGGGGGAACTTGCCCCACGCGCTTGGCCTGGCCTGGCCACCGGGCTGCTTCTTTCCGCTTCTTTCTTCTTCTGCTTTTGGCTGCACGCAAGGAAAGCAGCCAAAGTCTTCCTTTCTCTCTCCCAAACTCTGCCAGAAATGAGTCTTTGGGACCCTGCAAGGCCTCCTGCTCCAAGAGGCTGCGCCGACAAAGACTCATTTCTGGCAGAGTTTGGGGGAGAGAAAGAAAGACTTCCGCAGCTTCTGCTGCTTTCCTTGCGTGAAGCCAAAAGTCTCTCCTCTCTCTCCCTGAGAACGGAGCTGGAGATCCCAAGTAAAGAACGATCGATCGATAGGAAACCGGGGTGGGGGATTTTCCTGCAGATTTTGGGGAGATTTTCCCAGGGTCTCTCGTCCGCAGGATTTAAAATGATGAGTTTGGTGGTCCCTGAGGTCCAAAAGGTTGGCGACCCCCTGGACTAGTCCAACCCCATGCAGCCTAGGGACAGGCTAAGCATGGCTGTCCACAGGTTGTTGCTACACCTCCCAGCGTCAAGGGTCAGCCAGCAGCAGATGAGCCCCTTCTTCTTTTTCTTTCTTTCTTTCTTTTTTTTTAAAAAAAGACTTTATTAAGTTTCAACAAAAATAAAAGAGAAGAAAACCGAAAAAGCAAGAGTTAGTGGGGGGAAAAGGCAGGAAAGAATCAAGGTTAGGAGTGCGAACCAAGAAAAGGAAGGACAAAATAGGGCTGACTCCTGATTGTCTCCAGTTGAAATTCAAATGTCAACTGTAGAAACCTGTTGCTTTAAGGGGGAACGACAGTGCGCCGTATTTCTGCCATCGCAAACCATTAAAAATGAAATTAAAAAGTTTTTGTTTCTTTCTGTTTCAATCCAAAAAGGGTTTTCCAAGTAAGAACAAAGCTAGAGAAAGTCTTTTCTTTTTCATCCAAATTAAAGAAATTATCGTTTGCTCGGAAAGGGCGTCCCTAGCAATCAAATAAATAAATTAAATTGTCAATTTTGCCAGCTCTTCTAATTTTCCATGAACTTCACCCTCCATTCTTCCATTGTGGGAATCTCTACGTCCTTCTCTCCCTCCCGCTCTCCTGAAAGCAAAATAAAATGTTTTGAGAGAAACCACAGGCCTTCCCAGCAGAATCCCAGACTCTTCGCGCTGGATTTGAAATTGCCCCGCCCGAATTCCTCACCTGAGATTTTTCGCGGGGTTTGGTCTGTTCCTCCCAGCCCAGTTGCCTCTTTAACGCTCCCGCCTGTGTCTCTCTCTCCACCCCCCACCCCCCCACCTGCAGATATCCGCCTCCGAGTCCGGGCCGAATACTGCCAGCACGAGACGGCCCTGGAGGGCAACGTCTTCTCCAACAAGCAGGACCCCCTGGAGCGCCAGTTTGAACGTTTCAGCCAGGCCAACACGATCCTGAAGTCGCGGGACCTGGGCTCCATCATCTGCGACATCAAGTTCTCGGAGCTGACGTACCTGGACGCCTTCTGGCGCGACTACATCAATGGCTCCTTGCTGGAGGCGCTGAAGGGCGTCTTCATCACAGACTCGCTCAAGCAGGCCGTGGGCCACGAGGCCATCAAACTCCTGGTCAATGTGGATGAAGAGGATTACGAGGTGGGCCGCCAGAAACTCCTGAGGAACTTGATGCTGCAGACGGCCCCTTGAACCCCGGCGGTGGATAGTTCGTGGGGGGGTTTTTTTTGGGGGTGGTTCTCCCCCCTCCTCTTTTTTTGTTTTTCTTCCGGCCCCGCCTCTCCTTGGGAGGAATATTTTTCTTTTCTTTCTTATTTTTTTCTTTTTTTTTGGCAAAAAATTATTTTCCTTAAAGAAAAGGGAGCGGGGAGAGAACGGGGGATTATATCTCCGAGGAACAAAATCGGTCACCTATACGGAACGAAGTCTTTTTTTGCGTGGGAGGATATACTGGTTTTTTTGTTTTTTTTCCCCTTCTTCCCCCCCCAGCGGGGAACTGGAAGTGGGGAGTCGGAGGAGAGGCCGGTCTCACACCTCTGCCTCGAGGGGGAGCCCCTTTTCCCCTGGGCTCGCTGAGCATCGGTGGGGGGGCGAGACCTCCCCCCCCAAAAGGTGTCCGGCGGTCCTTTCTTCCCGCCTGCCCCTCTTGTGCTGTCCGGCTTTTCCGTCGTTCCAGTGTCGTTGCCCTCGATTCATTTGCCCACCGTCGCCCCACACAACGCAGGCCCCCCGAAGGCAGGCCCCCCTCGATTCATCATCCCCTTTCCTATTCAAAAAAGCTCGTTCTTGCCCCCCATTCCTGTCTCTCTGCAAGGGAAGTGGGGGGGGCGGAAAGGGAGGCCTTGGCTCCCGGGGAGGGGAGGGGGCTCGGCCCCCCCATCAGGGGTGGGCTGGGGTGTCTTTTTCTCTTTTTTAAATTTCCATTCAGCTGCTCCCGCGTCTGTAGTAACGGCATTAAAGCAGGAGGGGGGAGGGGAGGGGGTGGAGGCGGGGGGGTCTCGCGTGAAGCTCCGCCGAGGTGGGGCACGAGACGAGGGGGAGCCCACGGCGGCTGCTCCGAACCCCCCCCCGCCACTTCGGTGTGGGATAGGGAGATGGCCTTGTGGGTCGGAGGAGACCAGGAGGAGGCTGGCCGCTTTCAGACGCACAGACTTCCGCTCCCAGGATTCCCCAGCCAAGCCCACAAGTCTGGAAAGCGGCCGCGGTTGGAGAGAGGACCCCCCGCCCGCCCGGAGATCGGGGACCCCCCCCCCCTTTGGCTAAGCAGCTCCTCTGAAGTCGCGCTCTCGGCTCCGTCCCTTCCCTCCATCCCATCTGTGCCTTTTCCTCTCCCCCTCCTCAGCCGTGCACCCCCCCTCCCCCAAGATGGAAAGGAAGACCCCTGCCACCCGGAGAAGGGACTCCCTTGTTGGAGGAGCTGAGGGGCCTTTATGGGGTCCTGTTGGCTTAGCTGACCGGTTCTGTTCCTCCAGGGCTTTGCCCGCCGTCCCATCCTGACTTCCCTCCCTGTCGGGACAAAACCCAAATAGGTCCCAAAGACGCTCGGAGCTGCCGCCCCAACTCTCCCTTGCTTCCCAGGGTGCTGAGCGCCTGTGGCGTCCAAATTTCCATTTTCTCTGGGGAGACGGCCAGGTTGTCTCCGGGCTCCGCCAGGGTTCAGCTGTGGGGATTTACGTTTTGGGTAAAACCCCCGCAACTCCCCAGGCCTTGTCAAGCTGTCCCTTTTTCCTCTCCGCTACGGGGATTTGCTGGGCTCCATTAGTGGGGAAAATCGAGCAGCCCGGGAGGAAGGCCTCGGTTCTTCAACCCGCGCTGGGCTCCTTTTCGTTGGGTGCCCGGGCATCGCTTCCATTGGGACCCCCCCTTTAAATGACATGGAAGCCTTGGCAAGCATCAGCCAAGCCCTCTCGCTCAGGGCTCGCCAACCGTAGCGACCTGAAGAGTTCTGGACTCCCGTTCCCAGAATTTTTCCAGCCCGAGGAATTCCGGGAGTTGGAAGTCCACCAGTCTTCAAAGTTGCCGTGGTTGAAGGCTCTAAGCTGCCTCCCTTTGCTTCCCAGCAAGACCACCCCACCTCACCCCCCTCCTGGCTGACTACTTCAAGATGGCGGACCCCTTCTGGGTCGGGAAGGCTCCATCCAAGCAGGGCAAAGGAACTGGGAACCAGCCAGCCGGCGTCCCAGTTTATCCAGGTGGACTCACAGGGGGAAAAGCGGATTCCATCCGTTACGACAGAGATCCCCAACCGTGAGATCCCCAACCGTGGCCCCTTTTAAGACTGGTGGGCTTCAACTCCCAGCTTTGCTGGGAGTTGAAGCCCACCAGTCTTAAAAGGGGCCACGGTTGGGGACACACACACACACACCCCGTGTTACGAGTTTGTGTTCAACGTTTTGCCTTTCCGCTTCTCTTCGTAGGCCGGCAAAACGGTGGATTTTTTTTCACGAAGGTGCGTCAGAGCGCTTCGGATTTGGTTCGGGAGCAAAGCCCCCACCCCCCCCCCCCCCCCCCCGCGCTTTGGGAGCGTTGGCATGCAGGAGCCAACGGCGACCCCCTTTCGCGGGGGCTCACCAAGCAGGCCCCTCCTCCTCTTTTCCAAAATTGCACAGCCGCCAACCTTAAAAATTGCACAGGCCGTTTTTTTTTTTTTTTTTTTTCTGGAGGTGCCCGCTTCCGTGAGTTGCCTGTATTGGTTCTGATGCC